ACATTCTATCCCACATCACCATGTCTCCCACATTTTGATCTCTGTCTCACATTCTATCCCACATCATCCTGTCTCTCACATTTTGCTCTCTGTCTGTCTCGTTGGCACACAAAATAACAGACATACACCCATCGTCTCACTCCCACCAAAATCATTCCCACCGGGTTATCCATTCCACCCTGAGCTATCCCACTCGCTCATGCACCATGTACTTGTCGTCGACGCCGGCACCGTCGGGCCGTCGTTATAGGTCGTGGCCATCCGGCGAATCCCCACGTATACCCCCGGCTTCGTATTCCCTAATGCTCTTTATTCTTTTATCTCTGTCTAGTCGAGGGGTGTCGTACGTCGGGTTTTCAGTCTTTCCGTAATTACGGGTCATTATGGACCTGGGGGAGGCGATGCGCATCCAATACGAGGGCTTTCCTTTTTTTCCAAGTTTTTCGGTGGTTGACGGTTTTTCAAAATTAACGAGAGTTACCCTCGGCTTCTCGATTAATCATTAATTCCCGCTAATCTCAACTCATTCCACGTGAATTATCATATAATTATTTAATATTGTGTTATTGAAAATAGTTATTAACGCTTCAGTAATGAAAGCAGATAAATTTACTGGTAACATCTAACATCTAGAGTAATTTAAAACATCTGAAACTGTTTTTGCAATGAGAGAACAGACTCTGGTGATTTCTTGAGAGGCACACGATATCCAAGAGTTTCGAATGAATTCTAGACTCAGCGATAAAACGAACTAATTGCCGAAGCACTCATTACTGGGGGCCTAGTCCTCGACGTCGACGATTTGGAATTGTTGACTGAGGGACTTAAAGTCTCATCCATCCATTCCCTTTATTATTTATTATTTTTTGCATTTCTCTGGTGAAAAGGAAAAAAAATTTAACCACTCGTTCCCATGGCCCGATAGGGATCTGGCCATAATACATGCCCCTCCCCAACAAAACACGTACATATGTATGGAAAAGTCCACATAGACAATTTCTATGTACCACGCAAAGCCGTACATATTCCTGTGTACAACGTTAGGTACTAAATCACTTGGGTATTATACTATCAATGCGACGAATATGACCTAAGAGGGGGGCATTTCGAGGCTGTGGGTTTTCTAAGCAAATTAATGCTTGAAAACCAGATAATCGAGAGGGGAGATTTTATTAATGTTTTTTTATTTAAAAAGCTATTGTTTATCGTGAATTATTGGCGACGTCAAGAGCGACGACAAACCGATTTTCAGGGTTTTCACGCGATAACTCGGAAATTACGGGAGATATCGAAATTTTTGGTATTATTGATTTTCGAGAGTTTTTTGAGAGCTGTAAAAATGGTTATTATGTCTGTTTGGGTATTTCGAAGGGATTTGGAGATATTTGAGTGGATCGGTGAAGGTTGTGAGTGACTCTGTTCGAATGCGAAAGAATACATCAGTGGGGCTTGAATATCTCGGGAATTACAGGAGATATCGAAATGTTCGTCATAACATGTCTTGCAGACCCAAATCTCATCTACAAAAAAGGTTCTCACCTCGATTCGTCTATCTCCATTAGACTCCGAGATACTCGCAAAAAATCGAGGAAACAAGATTAACCGATTCGCCCCTGGATAAATCTCACGAATTCGTTCGAATTACCAATAAAATAGTTTCATCTGAATTTTAACTAAAATAATACTAAAATCATATTGAAGTATTGCTTCAGCGTCGGTTACTCCACCGTTAATGACCATAATAAACTAAAATGAGAGAAAAAAATGATAAAATGAGAATAAAAAAGGCATTTATCCAGGATGTAAAAGAGAAAATGGGAGTAAAATTCCTGGGGCATTCGCCAAAAATGTTGGTATCCCTCGTAGCGTGTCAATTCCATTCTCCCCCAGGTTGTGCCGTATGTGAACCGAGGGATAGCCGACGTAGGAGGATTGATGACGGCATCCCCGACAGCGTTATTGGCACACCGTAAGAAAGATCGTTAAGGATTTTCTCAGCCTTCAGTGCCAAATACACGAGAGATGGATAAAAGGTACAAAAGGGACAGGGGCCCCCTTACCCTAGACTATTTTTCACTTCTTTTACTCACCTCAGCCGTAATGAAACGCAAAGCCGTAAGTACCGAAGGCACCCGGGGATTATTCCACAATGTATGAATGCACATGCGAATGCAAACCGGAGCACACTTGATACACCGGTGGCCTCACTCGCCTTTCTTCCTCCTTTTTATTTTTTTTTTCCCCTCTTTTCTTCTTTTTTTATTCTTTTTTATTCCACCTATGTACGCGTGCATGTGCATTAGGCATGTACGAATCGTCTGCGTCGATCGAGGCCTTTGTGAGACCGATCGAGCGCACTCGGTTGTCATTACTTCTTTTACCATTTGCATTCTCTATTTCACTCGATTTTTCTTCTTGCATTCAATTATTTATTTTCGTTTTTTTTTTTTCAATTATTTATTTAGGTTTGTTTTTCAATTATTGGGGGTTATTGCGGTTTTTAGAGATCGGTATTCCGGGATTGGTAACGATTTTTCATTAGTGTTTTGGGGAGTGTATGAAATTTTATTTATGGGGATTTTTTTTTGGGATTATAATATTCTCTATGGGAAGATGTAATGTTATATAATTCAATGTTCAGATTAATGTATATTGATATATTTTATTTTTAATAGAAATATATTAATATTGGAATACTAGTTTCCACGAAAAATTTCCACGAAAATGGAAAAAACAATAATTCTTGAATCGTTAAATAAATAATAACCCCCGACAATTAATTCCACAATCCAACACTAACAATCTATAAATTAAATCTATAAAAATATATTCTCATTCAAATATTAATTCACATCACAAATAAATTATCATTCATCAAAAACCAATGCAAATTTCACCAGACGATTTCCCCGAATTTTCACCTGGCAATTTCCCCCGAAAATTCTCGCAGCGCTGGGAATTTGGCAAATCCAGCTGTCCATGGCATATATTCCAAAATATTTACAACATGACATGCCATCCGGTGCTCACCACCTGCCAAAATCCCAAAAATGAAAGCGTCAGAGAGGGACAGAGAGTTCAAATGATAATAGAACCGAGAATCAGGTCCCATCCCCCTTTGCCCCTGGGTACCCCAGGTTTTTCATTATCCACCGAAAAGCCCCTAGGTATAAACCTCTAAGGAAAGAAAGACGAGACGTTTCACGAGAAGCTCCAACACGTGGGGCTGAGTCTTCTCTTACATTTTTCACATAGATTTTTTTTCCTTCAATGTGTGAGGACGACAAATATGTATTGAGATAAAAGGGGGCAGGCACCCTGTCTGCCCTTCCTTCCGGAACCCCCGGGCCGTAGTCTATGCTCGCTCGTCTGTCTGTTCCCTGTTCCCTGCTCACTCCTCACGGTCTCATTCTCTCTTCCCTCTCACTCTTGTTATTCTGTCGTTCAATCTCTTATCTCTCTCTCACTCTCTCGTGCATCGTGTCTCCATCGGTCTCTGTCAACCCTCATTTCGCTCTGTCTCCGTCGGTCTCATCTCCGACATCAACACCGTATTTTTATCTATCTCCGTCTGTCTTGTGGTAGTCTCTACATCCGTCTCTCTGTCTCGCTCATCTGTAATTTCATCTCCATTCGGTCTCGGACTATTCTCTTCCTCTGTCCGTCTGCTTCGCTCTGTCTGCTTCTACTTTACATCTCCCTGTCTCGCTCATTTCGCTCTCGGTCTCACATTCTATCCCACATCACCATGTCTCCCACATTTTGATCTCTGTCTCACATTCTATCCCACATCATCCTGTCTCCCACATTTTGATCTCTGTCTTACATTCTATCCCACATCACCATGTCTCCCACATTTTGATCTCTGTCTCACATTCTATCCCACATCA